GGGGGGGGGAAGGTATATGCAGAAATTGCTATGAAATGAGAACAAAAGTCATCAATAAAACTTTTTTTTTAAGAAGAAAAATAATTACCATAGCAGAAAATAATTTAATCTCATTTCTGCTGCTTCTTTTTAAAAAGCATTTTATTGATGAAACTGAATACTGTGCCATTATAATGACAAACCTGGTCCCAGAGCAGAATTGAGAAAATGTATCTTCCTTCCCTCACTGTAGAAGTGAGAGTGTGGAACATTGCATATACTTTCAGATAGAGCTGATGTATTGATTGGGTTTACTGAATTGCTTTTTTCTTTTTAGTGGGCTTTTTAATAACTTTATTGGGTAGGAGAAGGCAAAACTATATTAAAAAATGAATTAGATCTACCCCACTCATACCTCAATGAGCACAACTTTTCTTGAAACAGAGAAGTATAGATGGGAAAACAAATCAACATGTTGGCCATATTTGATAGTATATTTGATAATACGTGACTTCTTCCATACCTAAAAGTCTACCAGGCTTTATCCTCAGTACTATGAAGCCACTTTAATTTCCTTACTTCTTCAACATAGAGCAAAATACACTTAGACAATATTTACTTCCCTCAATAACAAATGCTTTCAGTTTCAATTTGATACTGGCTACACTGAGCTCTGGCAAAAGAAAATCTAAGTCTCTTCATCCCCAGGGATCCATTTGAGAGCCTAGGAGAATGTATTCTTGTCTCCCAATGCTAAAGGACTGATGTCCTTAATGCTGTATCTACTTTGGAGACAACGAGGTGGGGCAGTGGCTATAACACTGAGCTTGGAGTCAGGAAGACTAAGTTCAAATCCAATTTCAGATATTTGTTCAGATATGTGACCTCAGATATGTGATCTCTGGACCCTAATTAATCTCTGTGTGCCTCAGTTTCCACAACTGTAAAATGTGGATGATAATAGCACCTACTTCCCAGGGTTGTTGTGATGATCAAATGAGATAATAATTGTAAGATTCTTAGCACAGTGCCTGGCATATAGTAAATGCTTAACAAATGCATATTTCCTTCCTTTGTTCTTCCCACATAGTCAGATGGATCTGTAATTTGGATATTCTATCCAACAGTATAGATTGCAATCCATCCATACCTGCCCATACTGTGCAAATCATATCCATGCCCTCCTCTAAGTTGGCCACAAGGGCTCTACCCAAAGAGCTAGGGGCAATTTTGTTGTTCACTTGTTTCTCAGTTGTGTCTGACTCTCCCAGACCCCATTTGGGGTTTTCTTGGCAAAGATACTGGAGTGATTTGCCATTTCCTTCTCCTGAACATTTTATAGATAAGGAAACTGAGGCAAGCAGGATTAAGTGACTTGCCCAGGGTCACACAAGCTAGTAAGTGTCTGAGGCCAGATTTGAATTCACAAAGATGAGTCTTCCTGTTTCTAGGTCCAGCACTCTATCCACTGCCTCACCCAGCTTCCCCATAGGGCCTTCTTCCATTTCTCCTAATATTGAGAGGATCCCAGTGGAGCCCTTGGGTTGTTTCATCCCTTCAATCTAGCCCAATAGATTAGTTAACAAATACTTGTTCCCTCCCTATCCCCACCAATAACCCATGGTCATGACTCACCTGTCTTTGACTCTGAGGATGAGCTGGTGAAACCGGTCTACATGCTCAAAGCTGGCTTTATCTGTGACAGAGAAGACGATGAGAAAGCCATCTCCCGTCCTCATGTATTGTTCCCTCATTGCACTGAATTCCTCTTGCCCAGCAGTATCCAAAACTGGGAAACAAAAACACAAGGAGGAAAGAAGTCACTGTTAGCTCATGCTGCAATTACTATAAACCTCAAAACCAAACAAAAAAAGGAACAGACGTATTTTCTGGGACCACAACAGAATGTATTACCATGCAACAAAAGTAATGCTACCATTGAAAAATGAAGGTGTTGTGACTGACCCAACAGGCCTTGTTAGGAGGGACCTGGGGACATTTAACCCTGAAAAGGTCAGGGGAAAATCTGACCACTTTCTTCAAGTAGTTTGTGGAGCTACCATGAAGAATCAAGTCTGATTCTGTTTATCCCTGGAAGGCTGAATTAGGAACAATTTAGGCCTGATGTCCCAAAAAACTTCCGAACAATTGCAGCTGCCCCAAAGTGGCATAGGCTGCCCACAGGCGTGATGGGGTTCTTTTTCACTGGAGGTCTTCAAGCAAAATCTGGTTGATCATTTGTTGGGTGTGTAATAGTAGGAGTTCCTTTGGGGCATTAATTAGGGTAGCCTGCTGCTGAGATCCCTTTTAAAGCCGAAATTCTGCAATTCAATGTTGTACTGAACTACCCACAGCCTCTTACCCAGTCCCATCCTCTCTATTTCTTATGAGGGATGATGCTGACCTGAAAGATGGCTAGGGGAAAAGTGAGGAAGGGATACAGACCTTTGCCATGAATAAGAAGGGTTTTGTTAGTCAAGATGAAGGTAATACTGGGGAATCAGACCCTAGACCTTGGCCTTGTCTGCAACATGTTTCCATCTAGTGTGCTAACTGACCCAAGTAATGCTGGATAGAAATAGCCCTTATAATTACATAATAAGCTCTGATCTTCCAATAGGGATCAATGTATTTCCCTGTGAACTTTCCCAAAAGGCAGCTCAATAAGGAGGTTCAATTCCAAAACTCAGTTCAATTCTAATGATCTGAGCCACTGAATAAGCAATCAGAAAGCATTTGTAAATCTACTATTTGAAAGAAGACTACACAAACAAGGTCTCTGGTCCTCTAGGAATCTGCAATAAAAGAGAAATCTGACAAATAGAAAAGATCTATTTATAGGTTACAATTTAAGTATATTAATAGGGGCAGTAAGCAGGGAGAATTGAAAAGTTTTTATGACTCCTCCCTCCCTCATTAATGTTTCTTCTCTCTTCAAATTGCCTTGTGATTTATCTGCACACTATAAACTCCTTAAGGTCGGGAACTGATTCATTTTTACTTTTGTATCCACCGCATATAGCATTTTTTTTTTATTAAGGCAATTAGGGTCAAGTGACTTACTCAGGATCACACAGCTAGTAAGTGTCAAGTGTCTGAGATCGAATTTGAACTCAGGTCCTCCTGACTCCAGGGCTGGTGCTCTATCTACTGCTCCACCTAGCTGCCCCTAGCATTTCCTTGTATACAATATCTATTTGGTCTTCAGGGACCTGATGAGGAAGCCCCATCTACCAAAGCAGACTAGCAACTGCCTTACATTTTACAGTCTTCTAGAGTTGTTTGGGGGCACAGAGGGTTAAGCCATTTGCCCAGTACTACCCAGATTATCTGAGGCAGAACTTGAACCCAGGACATCTAGACTCTGAAGCTGGTTCTCCATCTACTCTGCCATGCTGTGATTCACATAGGCTGCTACTATGCAATTAATAAATGCTTGGTTGTTGATATAGAGATACTGGAGAAAGGATCAGCTCTTGGCCCTGAGTGGAAATTATTTTTACCCACAAGAAACTCCCAGCTTTGGGAGTTTCCCCAACAGAGTTTCCTGAGAGAAAAATGGAAAAGCAAATAAGGTTAAGTGGTAATTTTATGAGGCACAACTACTAGAGTTGTAGGGTTGGGTTTGTCGTTGTTGTTGTTTGTTTGTTTGGTAAATTGTTAATGCTCTTATCAGGTAACGTGAAATTATACAAATTTGTGTTGGTGTCATCTCCATTCTAGACTGTAAGGTCCTTGAGGACAAAGACCAGGTTTAAACTTACCTGTTTCCTTTCTAAGTCTATGTATTTTATTTTTTGGCATTAAAACTGTTATTCTAGGGGCAGTTAGGTGGCACAGTGGACAGAGCTCCAGCCCTGGAGTCAGGAGGACCTGAGTTCAAATCTGGCCTCAGACACTTGACACTTACTAGCTGTGTGACCATGGGCAAGTCACTTAATCCCAATTGCCTAAAAAACAAACAAAAAACTCCTCAAAAATTGTTATTCTGAGGAGTTCATTGGCTTCACCAGACTGCCAAGGAGGTTTATTACACAAGTTAAAAACCCCTGCTATAGACATTTATTCCTAGTGCCTTTTTTTTTTGTGACTATAAGAGAAGGAAGAAGAGAGAAAGGAAGGGAGGGAAAGTGCAAAAAGGGAATGATTTTCATAATTTAAGATGAAAAACAATTTTGTTAGGGTCATAGTAGTAGTAGCTAGCTTTAAGAGTTACAAAAAAAATCAGTGTATATGTTATCTTATTTGAGCTTCACAACAACCCTGTGGGATAGGTGCTATTACTATCCCCATTTTACAGATGAGGAAACTAACTTGCTCAGGGTTATAGAGATCAGACACTTGTCTGAGGTAAGATTTGAACTCAGGTCCTCCTGACTCCAGGTCTAGCACTCACTCCACTGTGTCACTTAGCTACTTCATGGTATTAAATGGAGAAGAGTGGATTGGTTGACAAAGACCAGAATGAAGAAGCTATTAGCTCTTGTTAAACACTCATTCCTATAACTTTGGTCCTGGGAGACACAGAGCAAATTGGATACTTCATGATATAAATATTTGGTGTAGTTTAATTTGCCAGCCTATGAATACCTCTGGGTCTAGTTCAAGTCTGTGGGTGCCCACAGAAATGTTATATACTGATAGATGCTGCCCACAAACATATGTAAGTACTTCCCGTCCTTTCCTCTCTCCAGTCTCCTTTGTCTCAGTTAACCCCAGCAAGAAGCTTCCTGAGTATAGGCCACAGGGCCAAATGTTTCTTCAGAGATGTATTTCCTTAGCTAATTAGAATGTACTGTTTATCTCTGATCTGTTCCAGGCTTTTCTTTCAGGAGGGTATGCTTCATATCAAGGCCGCCAGTAAAAAAAAAAAAAAATGAAGTCTGGGACAATTAATGCATATTGCTGATTTATTGCCTTTGTTCAATATTTTGTTTTTGTTCAGTTCTTTTAGTTGTTTCTGACTCTTTCTGACCCCATTTGGGGTTTTCTTGGCAAAGACACTGGGATGGTTTGCCATTTCCTTCTCCAGCTCATTTTACAGATGAGGAAACTGAGGCAAACAGGGTTAAGTGACTTGCCTAGGGTCACCTAGCTAGTTATTGTCTGAGGCCAGATTTGAACTTAGGTCTTCCTGACTCCAGACCTGGTGCTCTATCCACTGCACCAAAGTCCTGTACCCACTGATAGTTAAGATATTAATCCTATACTAATGTTCCCTGTATGTTTAGGAGACATATGTCTATGTTTCCATGTTATATTAACACAAGGATACCAGAAAACTTGTAGGTACGATTGTTGTACTATTGTCAACTGGAAGAGGACAGATGTGGTCAGGATTTTCAAAAATGGGAAGAACATTCCCGGGTTACTGAGATTATAAATTAGTACGCTTGACTTTGCTTCCTGGAAAAAGATTTTAATATATTTATAAAGAAATGGTATGTTAAAGGTGTCATGAGATTCCCAAGGACACAAGCATACCTGGGATTTGAACCCAGGTCTTCTTCAAACCTAGCTCTCTTGCCATTATACTGTTCATTATAATGTCCTACTTTTGCATAGCACTTGATAGTTTCCAAAATCTCTCTGGGTCCTCCAAATTATGCTGCCCCACCTGGATCACTGCTTTGTCATAGCAGAGGGGCTTGCATAGCTCAGAAAGTACAAACTACACCATGCAGGGTTACCCAGGATGGACAAGTTATAGTGGAGAGTTCTGACAAAAGATGATCCACTGCCATTTCCTTAGTGGCAAACCACTTCAGTATCTTTGCCAAGGAAATTGCATGGACAGTATTAAGGCCTGGCATGCTATGGTCCATGAGGTCATGAAGAGTCAGATAAGACTGCCTGAACAACCAATAAATTATGCTATTACTTTTAAGACTCTGAAATAATGGGACTTTGGAGAATTAGAGAATTTTAGAGCAGAAAAGTTCTTTCATATATTCATATAATTGAATTTCTTCATTGTACAGCTGGGGAAATTGGGGCATAGAATTACCTCATAGTCACAAAGGTAATTGGAGCTATAGTAATCCTGACCCTAGGTCTAGTTCTCTTTCCAGTAATCCACTATAATAAGACCACTGGGTGTCACTGATGATACAGAAGACTACAAAGGAAAAATGTATTTGCCAGGTGATAAAGCCAAAAGAAAAACCTAAAAATAAAACCTCCATGATGTGAATCTCACCTGTCTTTACAAATAAGCAAAATATCTAAAATTAAGTGTGCTTTTGCTATTAGGTCTAATTCTTATCCCAACGGTTCCACTAGCCTTTGACTTCTTTCATTTTATGGTGAGCCATTAATTATAGTTTTAAATATGCCCTATAAAAATTGTAGCAATTTCATAACTTAGGCTGTTTAATTATAATGGTTGTCAAGGCCACATCCTTACTGGAACACTGTATATAATAAATACAAAAGGGTCATTTTTAAAGTTAGTTTGGGATGAAAGAGATCAAAGAAGGAATAAGACTGCTTAAGGTGAATGGGATGGATGACAAACAGAAGGCAAAACTATTTGGCTCTTGTTATGCTTCTGTATTTTCTACCAGTGAAGATGATCTGGGGACTGAGAAGGCTTGGACAAAAATGGTTAACAGGGACTTGGCACCCCAAATTGGGATCCCAGATGAGAATGGTAAGAAATCACCTAGATTTCCTGATAACTTCAAGTCACCAGGCACAGAGGAACTTGCACCCTGAGGACTGAAAGAGCATTAGGATGTGTTTGTCACTGCTCTTTGATCAATCGCAACGAATGGGAGAGGGTCTAAA